CAAACACCCGATCAGCGCATAAAGACAGTCCAGTGTCCGAAATAATATCATTTTTTTCAAGGGACCAAGTCTTTGCAACACACTTAATGCAGAAAAAAGTCGAAACTGAATATGTCAGAAATCATAAGCTTACCTTATCAGGGATCTAAAACAAAATTCTATGAATCAGGTCACGAAATAGAAATTTTTGCATCATACTTAATTTTGTTTAGCCTCAAGGGTAGAGACATTTAGACGGCCCATTTGATAGAAATTTTTCATCAAATTAAATGAACGCTTTTTCTATAACATCTCAGGACAATCATCTTGGCAGGCCAGATAGATAGTTATAAGCTGCAAAATAGTGAACCGACGAATTTATTTAACATCAGTGTTTCACAAAAACAGATGAAAGGTATTCGTGCATATGGTGGTACATTTATCAATCGAGAAGTGCTGTATACAACCGAAAGCCACCTTAATCAGAGACAAATCCAAGAAATCAGACAGCGAGAAAACTGAATGTCTTATACTAGCAGTCTTTCTTAAGTTAACTCTATACGGTCGCTACATTGACGACTGCATCAGCGCTACCTCAGCGCTACCTCAACGCTACCTCAACGCTACCTCATCTACCAAAGAGGAGCTCACTCACTTTATAACCACCGTCAGTTCCTTTCACCCGGCCCTGAAATATACCCGGGAAATTTCCGAAACTTCTTTGCTTTTCTCGACGTCAAAATTTCAAACAAAATTTCAAGTATAACTTTTAAACTCAGTTGATAGCTGTGAACCACTCCAAGATGGAAGAGATCACGAATTAAAAAAAAACCTTATTTATATTTGATATGAAATTCTTTTAATTTAAACCCAATTATGTATTTAATTAATAAAATTAGAGGAGTTATTCTTGTTACAAATCTAAAAAACCAACCTTATCAGATAATATTATTTGTTCCTCCTTCCTTTTCACTTCTTGTTCTCCAACCTCTTTCATCTTGTGCTTGATGCTATCTTATACGAGAAAATAGGGGAAGACAATGTCACTTCATGCATATTTCTCTTTCTCTCAACAAGTTACTCGTGTTTATTGTTTATTGATAACCATTAATGTTCCTATAGGCAGGGGCATTGCCAGCTCTCCGACTGTTTTTAGGCCTGTACCCTAAAAAAGTTGTTGGCCTAGGCCTAAGGGGCTTGAGACTGGCTACGCCCCTGCTATAAGTACCATTTCAGGTTAAAGTGACAAGTTCAATTAAAGTTCTTCATGACAGACAGACAGAAAAACATTTTACATTAATTAGTTTGTAACTATTCCACGATAAAAAGAGGGATCAACCAGATAACTTAGGCTACTGGCTCTCAACTGTAAAATTACAAGGGTATACGTATGCTATGGCAATTGGTAGCACAGAAGGATAATCAAAGCACTATCAATAATAAAAAGGTCTTTCTTTAAAACTTGTGTTGTACTACTAACAAATTAAAATACAGAGCAGAAATAATAGTTAACCAGAGTAACAGTGCTATAAACCCCTGCAAGCCATGCACCTCTATCTAGCGGAGATCGAAGAGATCAGAGATTGGAGAAAAGATAGATTTGATTAATTTTTAACTTTGGTTAGTTTGCATCATTGACCAGATTTACAAGTTGAGATGAGTTGAGTTATTACAGAACTAAATAACCAACCTTATTAGATGTTGTTTCTTTCCTTTTTTGTTCCCTTGCAATTTTAATTTGACATCCAAATTTCTGTTATCGTATGCTTGACGCTGTCCTGGTGAGAGATAAAAAGAGAAATTTGGTTTCTCTTACAATAAATAGAACAAGAAGTACTGCCATCGGCAGTTTCTTCATCAAGGATTGGATCTAATATTCTGATATTTAGAAAAAGGATCCTAATGAAGAGATTGTAATCTCCTATTTTACTTTAAACTTTTGGACGATTACCCTCCATTCCCATGTCGGGTTTCTTTTTTTGGGGGGGAGGGGTAGGGGGAAATTAAAAACTGCGATTAAAACCAGTTTTTTAATTTTGAAACACTGTAGACATATATGGCTATGCGCATTATCAAAATTAAGTACAGAAATCAAAAGAGAAATAAGGAAATCAGTGATGGGTACTCGAACATCAAAGTACAAGTTTCCCAAGTTGCCCTGAAAGTCACGCTGTTCAAGAAGAACATGGCGGCTGCTGTTGAGGATTTGTCTTATTCCAAGCTACGTGTATCTTGCTCTCCCTTCTTACATAAAACTCTTAAATAAATTTTACAAGGGCAACAACAAATAATACGAACATTGTATTTCTATATAAAATACATCAAAACTTAGGTTATTTACCTGAAGAAAAGTATCGACAAAATGGTCGACATCAAACTTGAACAATCCTCGGCGTCCGTCTCCATTGGATTCAGCAGACGAAACGACACACCGACCCTGACAGAACTGACAATATCCTAAGGTAATTTGGTCAAAATAAAGTGTTTCTTGACTACATAGAAACTGTAAAAGACGCTGAAATTTCTTATAGTTCGTCTGCTTTGTTCACGTGCAGGACCGAGCATAGATATGAATATTAATTTTTGAAAATTATTTGTTATTCAAATGAGTGTTCCGACTTTAAAGGGCGGGACGACGTTCATCGGTTAGTTTCGTTCGATTATAAAACAAAAACTAAGTATAGTCTATTAAAAGGTGTAAATATTGTTGAAATTTTATAAATATTACTTCGGACTTATTAAATGACATAAACTTCAAAAGTTTATCTTGAAGATACATTTCAGTCATTTAGTGATTACTTACTTTGCTTCACAGTAGTGACTTGCATGTTATAAAGACTTCTCTTAATAGGAAGCACCTCAGACGGTTTTAAACAGACATGGAAACACCACAAATAATATTTCTGGCTCGGCCAGAGTTAGGTGTGATCCAGAGTCCTTTCGGAAACCATTGGTTTGACATCCTATTCCGCCCTCACTTTAACTAATTCATTCATTCGAGTGAAAACACTAGCTCCTCGATAACTTGAATTACTTTACAATATAGCGCCAGGATATATTCAAATACGTGAAGTCGCTGATTTGCGTCCATCTAAAGGAAAAGTATAATCATGATCAAGGCATCAGGGATTAGAGTTAAACGAGATTTTAGAGGGGCGGAAATAAAGAAAAGCCTCAGAGATGGAATCACTGACGGAAAAATATACTACATGCCTAGCTTGTTAGGGTGTGACAAAAATGATATCTCTGAGACATGTACGTAGCTCGAGTTCACGACGTTATCCTGCGAAATAGCTGGGTCACGAAATGAGAGAACGCTTCACTACCATGAGGAAACATTTTATCCTCACATCTCAAACATTAAAATGTCCTTTTCCGGAAAGCCACGCAACATTCCTTGTCCAGTTTAAATTTGCTATGGAGTATAGCCTATATGGTTTACTAGTTGTTTATTTCGTGCCTACTGCCGGGTCTTCTTGGACCTTACGAGATATACAAGAGAGGGATCACTTGATCACTGTTCAAGTTTATTATGATAATTAGATGAAGTATTTTACAAGGATGATCAGTCACATAGATTTCATCCTTTAATTACATACAAGAGAAGTTATTCTAATTCTACTGATCTGATAACTGCTCACACCAAAATTTAGACGCCCGCTGTGATTTGCACAGCGATATTCTAGTCACTTCACCTGAAGATACATTAAACGAAACTGATGATTTTATGCCATATTATGTTGACATTTTCCGTAGAGCTTCTTACAATTATTGATTTCTTGATCATAAGGTCAATTACGCGAAGGAACACCGTTTTTGTCGACCTTTCACACAATGCAAGTCCTTTTCCATTTTTATATTGACCCAATTTATGCACCAATGAGGCATCAACTTTCCAAAATAAATCAAAACCGTCCCTCACAACATCATTTTCAAAAAAGCACTGTATTAATTTTTATAGTAGTTTTTGCTTAATGTAATTCAACCTAATCAGATCCACCCCTCCCGTCTCTGGGGTAGTACTCGGCCAAGATGGACTGCGGAATTCGCTTCAACATCTCTTTGGGGAAGATACGCAGCAGCGACCATCCAATGTCCAAAGAATCAAATACAGACCTATTTTCGTATGTTCCTGGAAGAGAGAAAAATAACATTACTTCCTGCATTCTTGGATACCACAGTCTGCACAATGGTTCAGTGGAAGCTCTATGCAAGGGACCACATCAGGACAATGAAAAAAGGTGCCTTGAAAAAAGGTTTCCATTCAGTGAAGGTGACACACAAAAATTATAAGTTTAGGTCCCTTGATAAATCCCCACCAGAAGTGTCCTGAATGAGTAATTCCTCTGTACTATTTGATTTCAAAAGTTTCAGCATCCACTAATTGGGTGCCATTTAATCAGCTTACTATTAAGCGTGAATCCTGAATATCTCAGCTAATACATATCACGAAAACTGCAGGTCGTTCAGTCACACGTGCGAACTTGCTAGTGCACTGCACTTTGCTGGGATAACAGAATCTTTCTTAGGAGCATTTTAAGATTGGAACGGAAAAGGTTGAACCTTTGTCTTCATGCCACTGTACTTCTAAAATATCCTTTAAGGAGGGGACTTTTCAGTTAGATGCTGGAGAGAACTCCTCTGATTCATTTTTTTCAGTGTAGACGATCACCCTCTCGTACCTTGTGTAATGAAATTCTTTTCAAACTTGGACAGGAATTCTAGATACAGCAGGTCCTCAGATGTAAGAGCCTCTTCACCCACAACAGCCTTCATGGCTTGCACGTCTTTGCCGATGGCATAGTTAGCATACTGAAAATGAAGAGCGAAGACACATTGGGGCATTTTTCAATTGAGTGTCAGTGTCATAAGCAATTCCTGATTGCATTGATTTTGCTTTACTTTGCTTTGTAACTGTTCAAGGAAACTCTCATCGCCCCCTCAAGCAATTATTTGCCAACCTAAAACCAAACTGTAGAGCCTGTGGTTAAACAAAGGAGGTTTAAGCAATTTGAGCATTGGGAAAAGGACAAAATTAATCTCTGATTTTACACACTTTCCCACAATTAATCCTCAAATCTACCAAATGGATAAATAGCGACTACTTTCTCTTTAGCGCACAAACGGCTGGAAATAGACGAACACAAATTCCATTTTTTGCAGTTTTCCCCTTTACCGAAGACGTGATGCTTAACAATTCTAAGTTTAATAATTGATTCATCATGCCCCACGCAAGGTTTCATCAAAACAAGTAATTCTTCAGGTACAACTGTAGACACTCGTCAACACTTCCCAAAATATTTTTGCCCGACTCATCAAGAAAAAAGACAACAATTGAGGCACTTATGAAGATTTTATCTAAAGCAAAGCAGAAGTCATACCAGTTGGTTAGAAACATCTGCATGATCTTTTCTTGTCATGCCTTCACCAATGGCAGACTTCATCAACCTTGACAACGACGGCAGCACGTTTATCGGAGGATACACCTGGAAAGAGAAATAGCCCCAATGCAAGGTCAAAAGAAAACTTACATACTCACGTATTCATTTCAGTTTTTTTTAATCCAATTGAAAGAGAACCTTGTTTACGTATCTACTTTACAGTTTCTGGATCTTGAAAATGAAGGGCGGGAGTTTATTTTTCATAGAATTCTTTCCCATCACTCAAATAATTTCTCCTAGCGATTTCTATTCGTTATCTAGCAACCACGTTGTAAGAATATGTAATAGTAATAGGACTGCGTGGAGTCCAATTCGGTCTGAAATCATACGAGTGATAGCAAAATCGGACAACCGCGCAGCGAGAGAACAATTCACTTAACACGAGTCACCAGTTA